ACCAAAAGTTGTACGTGTGGCTAGTTGTACCCTCATCATAATTGTAAACATTGTTAATTATCTAATAAAAAGCCCCCAGCTATAGAGGTCACTTTAACAAAAAATAAAAATAAAAATAAATTACTAATAAGATTTTTTAATTATAAAATATAATAAAGAGAGTAGTAATACTCATAAAGAAGGGAATAGTGATAGTAATAGATCTGATAAAGGCAACATATATTATAAAAATGACAGATATGATAAAGGTAACAGATATGTTGAAGGTGATGGATATAATAAAGGTGATAGATATAATGAAGTAATAGATATAATAATAATAATGAGAATAGATATAAAGATAATCATAAACAAATCTCTACTATCAAAAAGCAACATATATCTATTAGTAATTAATTAATTATTTGTTTGTTTTGTTTTACTAAATGCTTTTTTTATATTTTAGGTATAACAAAATCAATATCTAAAATAATTACAAATCAATATTCAAAACATTCCAATGCCCAAAGAATTTATATAAATATTATAAGCAATTGTTTAATATTAAGTGCAATTGCTAATAATTCAAATATAGATAAAATAAAAATTTATTTAAAAAAATATAAAGTAGTATTAAAAATAAAGAAGAAAGTACTACACTAAAGCTGATTAGTTATATTTAAATTAAAAAATTAGCAAATAAAATCCAATGGCCTGATTTTATAATTGTAGATTTGAAGATACAATAGTTGGTTCAGTAAGTCCAATAGGCTTTTAATAAAGTATAAAGCATTTGAAAATAAGGTTCTTAAAGAAAATAGGCTAAAAGTTGCAGAGTTATATCATAAGTTTCTATTATTAGAATCAGACCTTCTAGTAGTTGCTACTTTTTTTTGATTCAAATTTAGGTATACCAAAATCTACTTATTATAAAGAATTTGCTAAGATTTTAGAGACTATAATAATACAATTTTTACTTTTTCCAAACAGAATTTTGCTATTCATCAATTAAAAGTACTCTTAATTTAGAATCATATTTAGAAAAATATAATATACAAGAAACATTATTAGAAATTAAAAGTAGCAATATTCAAAAACAAATAATATTATTAAGAGAAGCACTACACTTACCTTCTGATATTCTTTCTAATAAACAAATTATACAAATATTAGAAGAAAAATAAATACTTTTAATAAACTTATGAGTACATATTATAAATCAATGAGCAGTAATAATATTATCTCTTATACACCAGAGATTTCCTGATGAATATCTTTGAAAATACTGTATAAATTTGATTAAGCTTATACCTATTTAAAAAATTGTATAAAACAATTAGCAACAAGACAGGAAAAAACAAAAGCAATATCTCAAGTTAATGCTCTTTTCTTAGAAAAGATTACAATTTATCAACTATTAAATATTAATCAAAAAAATTCTAATTCTTCACAAACTATTAATAATACAAATAAAAGAAAAAATACAATAGAATCTAATAAAGTAACAATTCAAATGCCTAGATTTTCTAAGAATATATCAGCCTGAAAGCTTCAAACATATACAACATCTGGACCACATTTAGTTAAACTATTAGAAACATTTAATTACAATGGGTATTATGTAACCTTATAGATGATATTACAATTACATGGTTGGAAAATTTTAATAAAGCCTAATAGGTAGAATTTTTCTTTTTTTTTTGATGATTATATCATTATTCCAATGCTTTATTGATGTTAAATTTGGTTCAAAAACAATAAATTTTTATATCATAGAAATATCTACATGCTATAGGAATATAGCTTACCCAGTTACTATAAAAGTACCTATATACAACCTGCTAAAGATAATTTTAGTCTCACTAGTTAAGTTTGGTCTACCTCAGAGCAGACTACCCTGGATTATTGACATGGATTACCAGCTTGTCATAATCATCTTCTTTTCCAAACTTCTTCTTCTAGCCTCTTAGTTAGAAGAATTTCTACCAACAAACAACAAGAAATTTATGAAATAAAAGGAATATAAAAAGAGGGGAAGTGCTAAACTAAACAAAAGAAAAAAGAACAAAAATAAAAAAAAAAAGAGAAAAGGAAAAGAAGGTCACAAAGAAGATGATTATAACAGCATTATTTTTGCCTGTGCCAGACTTTAAAAATTATATAGATTGCATAGAGTAAATCTAATCTAACACTATATGTAAGTACAAAAAAAAAAGAAGAGAAAGAAAAAGTATAGTGTCTATAATGTAAGAAATTTCATTATGTGCCTCATCTGACTATCTTTTACAGCAGTTCTTGTTTATTTGGCAAGCATTAACCAAATTTACTCATGTGAGATTCATTTTGGTAAATGTGTTCCTAATTTAAAAGGGTCCAGACCACTATATTTAGCAGCATTGCAAAGCACTAATCTTTTGAAGGGGGTAAACAAAAAAGCCCACTTTTGTTAAAATTTTGAAAGACCAAAGAAGCATGGGGGAGAAGTACTAAAAACCCAAAAGTTAGTAAGTGTTATGCCATATATAATACTATATTTTGCTAAGTATCTCTATTTCTATTTATATATCTGTAGTATTTGACAAAGCTCTAGGAATACTCTACAATATCATTGCTTAATAGTACTATAGCTCGCCAAGATGCTTCACTTAGGTGTCTGCTTATTATCTTTTTTTAACTCTATTTTAGAGAACAAAGCTCTCAGTGAATAGACTTTGTACTTGACAAAAGCTAAGTAAAGTTTTGTTTTTATAAAATATAGTATATATAAAGTTTTCATAGTTCAGTTTTTTCTGCAAAATTTTGGTACGAGAGATCGACAGGAAGAGTTGCTAATAGGTAAAATTTATTAACCATATTAAAAGGTAATTATTAATGAATATTTTACTAATATATTTTTTAATCAATAAATATACTTCTTTGAATATGTTTTTTTATAAATTTTTAAACAAATATTTTTTTATTAATAATTGTAGTATGTATTTGTATAAAGCAATTATAATGATTTATTGTAAATTTAATTATTATTATAATTTTATATGCAATATAGTACATTTTAATACAATAATACTAATAGTATACTGATTATATATAATATTTTAATACAATAATACTAATAATATACTGATTTTATATAATATTTTAATACAATAATACTGTTAGTATACTAATTATATATAATATTTTAATGCAATAATACTAATAATATGTAATTTTTTAAAAAATAAACACAAGTATAAATATATTTTTTTGTCTTTTTTTTAGTTAATTAACTATTAAAATATCTTCTACTAATCGCAAAAACAACAAATATTTGTACAAATATAACTATTGTTTAGAAAAAAATGAAGATGGTTGTTGGTTGATAAAAGTAATATACAATTTTTATTTATGGCAGCAATGATATTTTAACAGATTAATACTAGAATTAATAAAAATATTAGTTTTAAATTATTAAATAATGATGAAATTAATAAGTATATAATTGATTTATTTATTATTTAATTTAATTATTTAATTTAATTATTTAATATTAAATTAATTAAATTTTTTTAATTTTTTTAACGATTTAAGTAATTTTAAAGATAATTTTAATATAACTAATAAAGCTAAATACATGCAATCTAAATCTGATGAACTTGAATTATTATTATCTAATAATGAATCTGAATCACCTTACCTTAATAATGAAACTAAAACATTATCTTCTAATATTGAATCAGATTTAGAATTAGAAAAAATACTTAAAAATGATAATAAATCTGAAACTGAATTACTTTATCTTAATGATGAGCTTGAATTATTATCATCTAATATTGAATAAAATTTAGAATTAGAAGAAGTACTTGAAAATGATAATAATTTTATAGAAAATTTTTCAGATGATTCTGGTAACATTTAATAATGCTATTTAAATACTAATATTTAAATACTAATATTTAAATACTAATATTTAAATACTAATATTTAAATACTAATATTTAA